TCGAAAAAAAAACATGGTATGCACATTACACTGAAGCTTAGCGTAATGGAAAACAAGCCATGTCCATTGCACATGCTACGTACACTGAAGTTAATCGGAAAAACAAAACATGCTATGTACATTACATTGAAGCTTAGCCTAATTTAAAAAAAAACATGCCATTCGAAAACATGCTATGTACACTGAAGCTAATCGAAAACAAGCCAGGTACATTGTTTCATTAACTTCATCATGAATGAACCTGTTTCAACTTGTATGCAATTTGGCCGGCGGGTGCTTGTCACTGGATTTTCAAAACGTAAGCAGTGCATCCAGCGGCGTAGCTCAGTTGGTTAGACAACTTGGAATTAAACGGCCAGTGATAATATTACTATAGGTGAATCTGGGCCGACATGCAGTCTCGATACAGCCTTAATTACCGGGCGTTCAATTCGGGTGAAGACTGTACTTGTTTTTATCTCGGATGAAATCGCCCTGCGATCGCTGCCTATCTGGTGGAAGGGGTGTCCGGGCTCTGCTTTGTGGGGTTTTTTTTTTTTGCCTCAGAAGCAATAATTACTATTAGCTTCTCAGGCAAACACCTAGTAATCATTAGGCTAAGTGGTGGGACCAGTGCCAAGGCTCTGCTTAGTGTGTGTGTGTGTTTTTTTTTTTTTGTTGTTGTTGTTGTTGTTGTTGTTGTTGTTGTTGTTGTCCCTGGAGACTCGCAATCTACTCCACGGTCCAGTCACACCAAGAACAAAAAAGGGAATCAAGTGGAGGGCCGGGACCTTGTCCCACTAGCTCCGTTGAGCTAGGTCAACGTGGGGTTTTCGAGCCTGTGTGACTGTACGCGACAAGGGAGATGCACGTCGTCCAATTCATCTAGCGGTCCGTTTCAAATAAAAAGGGCCATAGAGACCATCTTCGCTTTTTCTTACATCGAAAAACAGAAATAAATTCTTTCTCTCGAATACTACTACCCCTACCCTCGCCACTTTCCGTTGAACTAGCTCTCCTTTTTTCGAGACAACTAGTTCAACGACCCTCTTGTTCCCCCAACAGGCGTTTTTCAAGAGAAACCGTACGAGCCTCCTTCCGTTTACCATCCTTCCGTTTGCCATTTTTGGACGGGATACGGGCACCTCTTCATTTTCTGCTGTGGAAGTGCCCGTATGCCACTCCAATTGTGAAAAATGAAAAACGAGAACAATTGTATTCCTGGCATTTCCTGCCATTTATAAATGCATTTCTCATTTGAAATTGAATTAAAATGATTTTTTTTAGCTGTCGCACCGTTGAGCTGCCTCAACTAAACGGTGCATATGGGACATGGTCCCCGAGGCCCCACTAACAAAGAGGGTTGAATTAAGCTCCTGACTGAATCTGGACGTGATTTAAGCAGAGATGCAGAAAAGCAGTTCAATCTCGATTTTCTTCACCTTTCCACAAACATGTCCCGATTCAGAAGTTCAATACCATCCTCTTTTCTAGTCAGACCTCGCCCGAGGACGGAACCTCGCCCCAGATGGGAGACGAAGAGCCGGATTTCCATCTTTGTTTCTTTTTTTTTTTCCCCTTGTTATATTTGGCGGTGATAATAAGTAACCTGTCCTTCGGGACATCCGCTAAAATTAGAACGATGCAGAGAAAGAGAAGATTAGCACGGCCACTGCGCAAGGATAATACGCATAATTCGAAAGATAGGCTAAAATAATAATAATAATAATCGGCCAAATTAATAATACAATAATAATAATAATAATAATAAATTAATAATAATAATAATAATAATGACAACAGCTTTGGCTGGATTTAGGCTCGCCATAGTTCAGATGCAAGAGGTGAAAACGGGAGTTGAACCCGTGTTTTCAAATTCACAATCTGACACTTTATTCGCCGTGGTCCCGACCGACGAAGTGTTTTAGTCGGTCGTGTTTACCATTTTCACCAAGCGAGTATGCTTATTATTATTAATTTGGCCGATTTTTTATATATTATTATTATTATTTTTTTATGCGTGTCATCCTTGCGCAGTGGCCGTGCTAATCTTCTCTGTATCGTTCTATAATTATAATAAATAATTATATTATTAATTTATTATTATTAATGTGGCCGTATTATCCTTGCACAGTGGCCATGCTAATCTTCTCTGTATCGTTCTAATTTTTAGCCGATGTCCCGAAGGACATGTTACCTATTATCACCATGAATTATTATTATTATTATTATTATTATTATTATTATTATTATATTATAAAATTATAATTATAATTATAATTACAAAAATAATAAAGAAGAAGTAGTCTACCAAAGGGCCTAGCTCAGTTGGTACACCCAATGAACGGTTAACATACAGATCGAAGTTCGAATCCAGATGTAATCAGATGAACAGAGTAAAATATATATTGTCACACTCCGAATCGGAGCGCAAAGGCGGAAAAAGGCAAAACAAGGAAAGGAAAAGAAGGAAGGAAGGAAGGAAAGCCCCACCTGTTCATCACCTCTTACGTGACCATTTCTCGATTTATGAGTGTCATCCTTGCCGCAGGGCCCATGCTAAAAATAAATAAATATATATATACTTTTTAAATCTTCTTTAACTGTATCGTTCCAATTTTCACGGATGTCCCGAAGAATGAGTAAAATAATTCTGAGTTACCTGGGGCTGGTCAGTTCAATGATGATATCTAGTGGCTGTCGCCCTTTCAAAAAAAAAAAAAAAAACGACAGCTGCCCCCAATAATAGATGGGGCTATGTCTTTGATAAGCCCAAAAAGACATTTTATTTCACGAGTGATAAGTTAGACCCGGCTTGCGTATTAGAAAAAAAACAGGGAAAAAAAAAAAAAAAAAAAAAAGACAGAAGGCGATTCGTGTGGAGCTGTGTTTAAAAAACAAAAATGGAACAACGAAGAGCCAAAGCCTTAGCTGATGCTATGATGTCATGACACCACAAATCTATTTTTAGGTGCGGGGAGAAGCACGTGCTTGGAGCCGTGCTCCGCGTCCCCAACGGGCCTCGCTCCACTACACAACACTCTACATGCATCTGGACGCTTTCTGGACCCTGTACATTCAAAGCATTCGAATCGTCGGAATGCACTTTGTCCGGGAACCGTCCAAATTCATGTACTAGAGTGTTGTGTTCGCTGACCCATTGTGCAAAAGGTACGCCGTTTTTTTAATATCTACGCTCGCTAGTGTCAAGGCGTTCTGAAGGCATAATCACACCAGGACTTTCTTACTTACAGTACGTCTACGGACGCAATTGCAGTCAGATGCATTCACGTCCAGCCCCATCACACGGACGCAATTGCGGTCAGCTCTGTGTTCACGTCCGGCCACATACGCGGTCTGATACATTTCAGATCGAGCTACCTTCTTCCCCCGATACAACGTACGGTCATTATAGATGTATTTAGACTGAAACATAGTCTAAATACAGCTGTAATGACCGTCCGTTGTATTCGGTGGAAGAAGGTAGTATGAGTACGCCCTGAGGCTTTTCCCGTTCATCGCTTCCTGGAATGCATCATCAGTAGAGCGCCACGTGTCTAGTGCTGATCCAATAAATTACGCGTCACTGAATCTGTATATATCCGCAGAAAACGGCCTTATACACTGTCCTGTTTATCCCATGACCCCGTGATCGTTCCAAGCACAAAACACAGGATTTCGTACTAAGGGAGATATATATAGTCTCCGAATTGGTTGTAGGGAGTGGGGGGACTCGATCGCACGATCTGCTTATCGTCAGACTAAGTCCCATGTCCCATGTGGACTCTGGATCTGCTTATCATCAGTCCCATGTGCGTACCATTCAGCCACAAGGCAGGTACAATACTGTACGTACGGCGTACGGCGTACGTACGGAGAGATTTACGTACTAAGAGAGGGAGAGCAGATATTAAGCTTCAATCAGTCAGAGTTTAAACTCATGATCTGCGTATGATCAGTCACGTGCCACGTGGACCATGTGCACGTGGTAGCAGAGGGGCACCCGCGACTGCCATATGTGGGAGCGTGGTCACCCGGGCGTGCCACGTGGACCATGCAGGCGGGGTAAGACACGAGCAGGCGGGGTAGAAGACAAGGACGACGAGGCGGAGTGGGAGGAGGAGGAGGAGGAATGCAAGGTCGAGGTGGAGGAGGACCCGAACTTGATGAGGAACACGTGCCCCCCTCTCTCTCTCTCTCTCTCTCTCTCTCTCTCTCTCGCTCGCTCTCTCTTTTTCTTTTCCGTCTCCAGTCGTCGTACGCGCCCGTTATCTTTTTTTTTTCTGGTGGGGGGGGGGGAGGCTGGGGAAGGGGGCGCGGTCATTCTCGAGTCCGACGCGGACCGTGTGAGCGAGGTACAAAACGAAGACGAGGACGACGAGGAGAGAAGGCGAAATGGAAGTGGCGGTCGTGATGGACAACGTGGATTAGGAGAGGATAGGGTGCTCTCTCTGTGTGTGTGTGTGTGTGTGTGTGTGTGTGTGTGTGTGTGTGTGTGTGCGCGCGCGCGTATGTGTGTGTGTGTGTGTGTCGCGCGTATGTGTGTGTGTGTGTGTCGCGCCCGCTCGTTTTCTTTCCTTTTCGGACACACACACACACACACATACGCGCACCAGCGGCTGCCACGTGGACCGTGTGGAGAAGGAAGAGGACGAAACCGAAGAGGCTTGGGAGGAGGAAGAGGAGGTGGAAAGGGCGGAGAGGACGGCGAAGTGGGGGATCTCTCTCTCTCTCTCTCTCTCTCTCTCTCTCTCTCTCTCTCTCTCTCTCTCTCTCTCTCTCTCTCTCACTCACACACACACACACACACACACCACACACACACACACACACACACACCTATGCACGCGTATATTTTCCTTTTCCCTCCATTCTGCGAAAAGCACTGCTTGCCACGTAGCGCGCGAGCAAGAAGAGGAGGACGATGATGAGGCGGAAGTTGAGGGAATGGGAGAGACCGACTCTCTCTCTCTCACTCGCGCTTGCGCGCGTGTCACGCTGGCGATGCAATCCATACTAACCTCGGCAGCGATGGTTAACCCCGAAGACGGCAATTGTGGCGACGACAACAACATCGAAAACGACGACCGGGAAAACGCCGATGATGCCGAAAATATCCACGCGGGGAGGGGATTGAAGCCTACAAGGACTTGGAAATGGGGCGGGAGGGAGGTGGGCGGGGTGCGGCTCTGTTCGAATTCGAACGGCGAATCCGCCTCCCACAATCGCCCCCCCTCACCCCCGCCCCCCCTCAGTTCCGACAGGTCCACCCGCCCGCCAGCGCAGACACATGCAATTCGGATGTACACGTGCACATGTCGGCGTGTGCCCAACGTACACGTCTGCATGGCCCTCGCTCCACTTCTCTAGACACGTGCAAGAAGAGAGTAGATCTTCCGCTAGAACAGGGAAAGACACAACGCCATGATTTTTGTCTTTTGTGAATGTCGAGAGTCGTGGAGCGAGGCCCCATGTCCGCGTGTCCCGGTGGAGCAGTGATTAATGGATACGCTCGCTGCTTCCAACAGTGCGGCTCGCCGTCAGAATAAGAGGCTCTCCACACAGTCTGTCGAAAACCAGGTTTTCTACAATTTTCCATCGCCACACACACACACACAAAAAAAAAAAAAAAGAATTGCGGATATAAATTAACCAAACAATAAATTCAAAAAAAAAGGGAAAAAAAAAAGAACTCCGGCTCAAAAAACTTTCTTTTTTTTTTCTTTTTTTCTTTTTTCTTTTTACATTATGTTTTTTTTTTTTTTTTTAAAAGGAAGGAGCTCCAATTTGATTGTTGCCGGAAAACGGGTCCGGCGTCCCTCACATATCACTGTGGCCTTGCAGGCTTGGGGAGGCACTTCCGGCCAGTCCCATCCCAACCACAGTCGGAACACAGTCCTAAGGATCACTCAACGGAACTCCACTTGAGAAAAACCTGGGCTAATCTATTCAAATTATTGTACATTCTGTTCGAACAAAGCCATCTTCCTGTCTAGAACAGGGCATTAACCTACAAGACACAACACTCAAATTTGAAAACCAAAACACAACCAGAGACTAAGTCAAAAATTAGAAACGGGAGTGCTACTAGAAGGCTAAACACAACTAAACAAAGGGGTTGGAGAAGCGAATGAAAAATGTGCCGTTCTGAGCTGTATCCACTGTGGCCAATCCGGAAAAGTTTCCCCATCTACTCCCAAACCATTTGACAGCTTTAGCTGAATAGCCTTTTTTCTGGACTCGGTATTCCCAATCTGCCGATATAGCTTGTTTGATTGCGTATTTAATTTCTGCTCTAACCATCGGCAGCCGCCCTCCAGCAATCCTTTCCTCCACTGCAGCCTGAATGGAATTCTACAGTGGCCCGCCGACCTTCCGAAAATTGCTTTCGAATTTGCTTTGCCAGGGACTGTTCCTTCAACTTCCGTGAAACCGGTCCGCCTGGCCATGTCCAAAAACGTTGCCCCTCGACAGCCTGTGTGGCGAAAGGGGGGGGCGGGCTAAAGGGGGAGGGGGGGGGGGAAGGTTAATTGTGGACCGCCCTACTGTTAAAAATTTTCTAAAATTTTCTGACACCAGTAGAAAATTTTCGACATTCCACAGCCTGTGTGGCGAGCCTATAAATGGTTATACCTCGGTCCGGTTCGAGGCCACACATTCAGTGAGGCAAGGGTGTCCTATGAGGCTCGCCACACAGGCTGTCGAAAACCCGGTTTTCGACAATTTTGCATCGCCACACAGGCTTTCGAAGAATTGCGGCTCAAAAAACTTTGGACAGGTGTCAGAATGGTACTTAGACAGCCGCCCTCCAGCAACCGTTTCCTCCCGCCTGCAGGTGACGGAAATTCTACAGTGCCCCGCCGAGCTTTCAAAAATTGCGTTCGAATTTGCGTTGTCAGGGAATGTTCCGTCAACTTCCGTGAATCCCGTCTGCCTGGCCATGACCAAAACCTTGCCCCTCAACAGCCTGTGTGGCGAAGGGGGGGCAAACTGTCGACCACCACCGACTTTCAAATTTCTTCTGACACCTGTCGAAACTTTTTGAGGTTCGACAGCGTGTGTGGCGAGCCTCTATGTCCCTGGCCCTACACATTAGGCCAGGCCACACCACTCTCTTTTGTTTTGTTTTTTTGTTTTCTCGAAATGTGAAAAAGACAAAAATTTGGCGGGCGCATCTGGCTATGTTCTAGCAGGAAGTTCATTCTCATTTTGCACATTTCCCGCGCCCATTCTGCATATTGAAGTGCTGCATGACATGCTTTCGTGCATACCCGCACATTGGCGGCCTGCGCATTCAGGAGCAGGATGACAAGGATGGCCATGGCAATTGCTGATGAACCAGATCAAAATATCCCTCAGGGGCACGTTTCCACTAGCACACGAGTCATGGCCTATTTGGACCTGTGTGGCACTATAAGAAAAGGAAGAAAAGTAATTTTAAAGACTTAAAAAAAAGACAGATGGCGAAGTTACATTTCCCAAGATGGAAGGCACTGTAAGAAAGGAAGAAAAGTAATTTTAAAGACTTGAAAAAAAGACAAATGGCTACGTTACATTTCCCAAAATGGAACGGAGGCCGACTTTTGAAAGTGCTGCCTTCCCACTAACCCTCCCGTCTCCTCCCCCTGCTCCCCACGCAGCCAATGCGTACCTGACTGTTGCAGTCTCGCGCGCGAGGGAATCCCTTTGTGTGCCTGAAGGGACTCCCTTCTCCGACGATTGCCATGCTGAAGCGTGCATTTCGTATATTTTGAGAGAAAATCCAAGTACTGGATGGGGTTAACGATTGACCCGGAACAAGAAGGGGGTCAAAACCATGCCCTTCGAGTACTTGATTTTTTTAAATCTTTTGAAGAGCTGCCAATCAAAATCAGGGTTTCTATTTTCTTTTTCCGCCTCCCATTCTTGGGAACTGGAAAGAAAAAGCACACAAAAAAACCACTTCAGAATATAAATCCCTCGCAATTTGGCTGCCATCCTATTCTCCTGCATCAGTGGTCAGACTATGTCCCGCAGATGTCCCAAAGGTGTTTGTGGGACACAGTTTACCTTACGCCTTTGCAAGTGGAACCGTGCTCCAGGAGGGTTATAGACACTTTCTCCCTCTATGTGGGGGCAAGCGTCAACGGGGGAAAATCTTGTGTGATACTCCAGAACATGATCAATATGGAGGACACACAGGGAGTC